CCCCAAAACCCCAAAACCCCAAAACCCCAAAACCCCAAATTTGTAATACGGGGTGGAACAATGTTTGCATACTTATAAGTATTATCCAACTATGTACTTTATCGCAGGCATAGATACACAATCCCCATCACTGTTAGCTGCAGATACTTCTAACCTTATGGCTTTCTGGTCAAGGTCTTTGCCAATAACTTGCTCATAAAGTTCCTCTATGGTCTGCTCTAGTCTCTCCTTTTTCTTGTCAGATTTATAGGTATCTGAGTAGAACTGCTTTTCTCCGTAAGCAACCATGTCAACTTCAACCTTCATTTTGTGCTTCTTGGCTACTTTAGCGATTTCTTTGTTGAAATTCTTTACTGTAAGAGGTCCCTCTATCTCAATAGTGTCCCAAATAGTCCAATTTGGAGGACAGGCCTTTACGGCAGTGAGCATAATAGGATCCTCTTCCACATCAACTGTCTTTTTGGGCTCTCCTGGTTCATTCTGGAGGTAAGTTCCGATTCCAGTATTGAGGTAAGTATTTCTGTAATCAGAGATCTTCTTGAACTTTTGTATGTATTTAAGAATCTCAATGCATAAGATACCCACAATAGTAGCAGTAGTGGTTGCGATGGCAGGAATGATCTTTCCAGCAATCATTTTTGATCTAAAATGGTCGCATTCCTCCATCTTATAGTTCCTTGCTCTCAAATTGGCAGCTGCATGGATGAAATCAATATGGAAATTGGTGTCATCATCCTTCTCAAATTCAGCTGGATTAATATCATCAGCTTCTTTATCTTCAAGTTCTTCAAGATCCTCTATGATCTCATCAGCTTGCTCCTTGGATTCTTCGGGTTTCTTTTTCTCAGGCTTGCCTGCTGCTTTCTTGGCTTCTTCGTCGCCTTCAACATCGATTTCGGCAGCGAAAGCGTCTTCTTCGACTTCGGCTTCTTCGGCCATTCTAGCTATATCGTCCTTGTCTTCGTTTTGGTCAATGCCAAGTGTCTCTGCTATGAGATTGGCGCAAGCTATTATATAATCTAGGTGGAGCTCATCTTCTGCATCGAAAGGTATGGGTTCAGGGAATCGCTTGGGACCACTCCAGAAGGGAGCACCTGTAGAGTCCTTATGGTCTTCAGGGAACAGTTCAATTAGTTTGTTAACTTGGAGCTCGTAATCTTCATAGAATTTTTGCTTGGCAAAACCAACTCATTCTTCAAAGGTTGAAAGCTCTCCAATATCTTTAATTGTTTTGAGGTCTTTGAGAGTATTCGAATCAAACCCATCCTTTTTAATCTTTTCTATGTATCCTTCTCGATCAGTAAGGAAAGATCTCAGGTTAGTAGGCTTGTCGGTAAATAGCTCTCCAAATCTGTTTCTAGCCCATTCGATACAGTGCTCAATTTGGTTAGGGAAGTTTCTAAGAGTACACATTGGGATGCTTTCTTCCTCAGGATCTTGGTGGTCGCCATAACATTCAGTGAGATCTGGGAGGACTACTTGTGTGTTAGCTTTGGTTCCAAGAGTTCCACTATCGAAGAGAGCTCTCTTATACCATACACACTTCGAGTCAATGTAAAGGCGAGCTTTCCTATTATCAACTGCGTTAACGATATAATTTTGACTTTCCCAGAACTTATCGTTAAAAATATTCTCAGTATCAGGGCTAACTAAATTGGAATATGGCTTAGTGTTGAGATCCTTGTTGATCTTAGTTGCTTCTTTTCACGCTGTAGTCGATTTCGCCTTGCCAATATGCCTGTTCCTGAACAAGAACTGGCGGTTTAAGTTTGAAAGTTCGATATGATCGTTATCTGTAACTGCTACAAGTCCTTTATTAGAGCAACCAAGACCCATTAAGGCAAAACATTTTAGCAGCTCACATCCAAGAGCTCCTGCACCGACAAGGAAGGTTTTTTGCTTCTCGATTTCTTTCTGAAACTCTCTCCCGAATATGGCTATCTGATCATCATACCTTGAATTGGCATGCTTCCTGTTAAGCTTATGTTTTCTTGGAAGAGCAGAGAACATATCGTAATGTAGCCATTGACCTAAATTGTGACATAAATAAAATGAACAGAAAATCAAAATTGAAGATTTTGTATCAGAACGAAATTTTTACCTTCAAGTGGGGCAAATTTCCCTGTAAATTTGACAACTTCTTGACACACAATTCCACCGAACATGGAAGTCATTGGTGTAATTTGATTTCTAGCAAATTTAGCCATTAATTTAACCACTCCTGCATCAATTTTATCTACTGAGAAAGCTCCATTTAATTTCTTTAAAGCTTTATTTGCTTCTTGAGATAATTTCACTACTTCATGAACCTCTTTTCTTTTATTTTTAGGTAACCTGCCATTCTTAAGCTGGTATCCAAGGATAGCCTGTAAACCAATATGTAGCTGCTCTGCTCTTCCAAAGTTAGCCAGATCAACTTGAGTAAAGAATCCTTGACCAACTTTTAATGGATTATTAAGAGAATCTCTTAAGTTTTGGAATTCAATCTTTTCTGGTACGTTCACACTAGAAATTATGCCATCAATTTCATAATCCTCAAAATCTCTGGTATCGAGATCTAACTCTATGGTATACTTATCAATGACTCTGATCTTGACTGGTTCTTCAAGCTCATTCAATTCTTCCATTCCTTTAACTTCTGAGAACTTGACATGATCACCATCTCCAAAATCATGAGGCTTGCCCTTGTACACAGTTAATTCAGCTTTCTTTGCTTTTGTGATTCCAACGATGTTATAACTTTTGCTCTCTTCTCCAGTTCTGTCTAAGCATTTGAACTTCTCTCCAAAGTCAACAAAGCAGTAACCATAAGCCCCAAGACTCTGAGCAAGAATGAAGCCTCTTTTGAGATCTCTACACTTCTCGTTAAGCTCCATCATCACCTCAATATTTTCAAAGATTTCAGTTACTACGATAACATGATATTTTAAAATAGTTTCTTCTTGAAGAAGGATGTTCTCTTCTTCAGAATCTTCTTCTGAGGCCTCTTCCTCTCCCTCTCCCGCTTCGCTTGCTTCCCCTTCAGCTTCATCAGCTTCTTCAGACTTTTCTTCTTCAAACTTTTCTTCTTCAGACTCTTTGTCTGATTCGCCGCCTGAGAGTTCTTGAGATTCTTCTTTAGAGTCTGCGTCGGATTCTTCTGAGGCTTCGTTTTCATCACCTGAGCCTGATTCTTCCTCAGAATCTTCGTCAGATTGTCTGATGAGGTCATCGTCCGAGTCAATTTCGCTATCGTCTTCTTCATCTTCATCAAGAACCCGAACTTTAACGTAACTGTTTAGCTCTGCAAGTCTCTTGAGAGATGCAATATCCCTCCTTCTTCTCAAAACACTTCTCTCGCTAATGTAGAAGTTAGAAGAGAGGTCTCTGATGTGAGCCTTGTGAGGGTCGTAGATATCAACCCTCTTTGGACCTGCTAGGATAAGATTTTTGGCAACTTCAGCTCCAAGACCCCTCATTCCGACTATTAAGACCCTCATGTTTGCTAGTTTACCCATGGTTTCTTTACCATAGACGCCTAACTGTCTACTAACTAGGTTTTCATCGTAATCGCCCATTTCCTTCTTTATTTTTATACGAATTTTAGCTCGAAGGGGTTTTGGGGTTTTGGGGTTTTGGGGTTTTGGGG